CCTGACACCGACGGTGCGTAGCTCCCTGACACCCGCCCGGTGATGCTTTCTGGGCCGTGATCCCAGCCCAGCCGCTGGCCCAGGGCAAAGACCACGCCGGAGACACCGACCTTGGAAAGCACCAGGACGAGGCCGACGATGAGGAGGTGAATGGTGTCGATGCGCCAGGGGCAGGTTCTCCCCTCACCCGCTGCATCAGTTGTGACCCTTTCTGGGTGCCACGTGCTGTCCGTGAGGCTGGGAGCTTCCTGCTCTGGGGAGGGAGCAGGGGACAGCGGGCTCCCCTGGCAAACTCTGTCCCCCCAAACCCACCCGCTCCCTGGCTCAAAGGGTGCAGTGATCCCTTCCCACCCAGCCCTCCAGATATGGGGGGGGGGTCCTGCTCCCCTTTACGGCCCCCAAGGGATGTGAGACCCTGCTTACCCCTACAGCCCCCCCGGATATGGGAGACCCCCCCCCTTGCCTCTAGATCTGGGGAATCTGTGCCCGGTAGTAGCTCTCTCTCTCTCTCTCCCCCCCCCGCCCTGTGGTATCCTGGTGCCCCCCATGGTTCATCCCCTGTCACCGTGAGGTGGGTCCCAACGTGACGGCACCATTGCTCCCATGTGCCATCATTCTTCTGCACCCTGACGTGGCAGATGTACTCGCTGGCGTCCGACTCCCGCAGCCGGTCGATGCGGATCGAGGCCGTTCGGTTCCCCTGCGGGTCCCCGACCAGGACGATGCGGCCCCCGTAATCCGGGTGGGTGAACCCCTCGGGGTAATTGTAGATAAACTCACCATGGAATCCCCCCCGTCTCCAGTAAACTCGGACGTCCCGCAGCGGCTCGATCTCACGGGGGTAGGTGAAGGCGCAGGGCAGGGTGATGTGACGAACTGAGACTGTTCTCACTGTGGTCTGGGAATGCTGACAGGGGAGTGTGGCTGGGATAGCCGGCATTGGGGGATGGGAGACTGACTGAAAATACCTGAGCCTGTAACATGAGAACCCAGGAGGGGGCTGGGACCAGGTGACACCTTTGCCCGGGAGACTGAACAAAGGCTGTGGGAGGGGTCGCTGAAGGCAGAGTCTCAGAGGCTGGCTAGTGACCTCGGCTGGAAGGAGACAGGGCTCTGATCCCCTAAGGGGGCTAGGGTGCCCGGGGACCCCAAGATGAACCTAACTGAGGGGGGTCCTGTTGTCTGTGCCTGT